AATACTTACTACCTTTTCTTAAATTTTTAACAAAATAACTAAAAAAAATCAATACTGGGCGCCATGTTTAAAATTTGATGCTCCTTTGTTAGTCTGCAGTCTGTTCTGTCATAGAAACCTTATTCCATTTTATTCTCAAAATACGATCACTTTAATGTCTCTTTAGATTTACCTTTTTAATTTAGTCTCTTTGAGATAAAATAAAATCTCCATTCACGTTTGAGAGCACTTGAAGTATCTTCGATAAATTCATCTAATGAAAGTTAAATAAAAAGTCGAGGCGCAAATTAGCGAATAATGAGTCTTTAAAGTGACACCCTGTTGACATTCCGTTACTGGCTTTTCATTTAAAAAAACGTACTCTCATTAAAGCAAATTGTGAAAATGTAATTTAATTCTTAAGACATTTATTTTTTAAACTATAATTTTCATAACCTTGATATCTTATTCAAAAGGCGAAGAGGTATTTTTGAAAGGTCCTTTAAATTATAACCTAAAAAGGAACGTAAAATAGGGTTATTCACAACCGTCACCCCACTTTTTATTCCCCACGTGGGGACAGAAGAGAATAAATAGTTTTATTCGCCCCAACTTTCCCGACGATGGGACGGTTGAAACTGTTTTTATTTCATAACAGGCCCATCTTGTCACCTTATTGGTGATAGTGGAACAAAAAGGTGGGACGGATCAAACTTTATATTCTCATGTGGGAACAGGGCGGGGTGATGGTTGGGAATAATCCGTCAAATATACCGAGTTTGAGATTCATCGAATATTTCTGTTTGGAATAACTCACTGCAACTATTTTACTATATTACACTGTATTATTGAAATGGAGTTATATGAATGTTATAAGTTTTAATGTAACTGTATAGGAAGTGGGTTTGTTTACTTGAGCGATGTCGACGCGCAGTCGGCACATCGTAATAACGGAGAGTTATGGCCGCCACTTCGATTCCTCCCTCTACTATGGCCTCGTAAATCTTATTTATAAGTTACCGGTGAACAGATAATTTCAGTTGCTACCTTCTAGTAGACACAATGTTTTGTTACCCTTTTTTACTCACAATAACGTTTTTTTTTGCGTATATATAAGTTTACGTACGGAGAGCTATTTGCGCGGTTATTTCTAGGAAAATAGATGAAGAATAGAAGTTTATGTGGAATTCATCGTTCTAGAAATAGAGAAATGACCCGAAATAAGTGACAATTTTTCAAAGCTGTATGTTAGCAACGCAGCCATAGACACGCTGTGACGCCAATTAAAACTATTTGCCGACGAGCTGCCGGTGTTTGCTTTTCACGAAATTGTTTGCTAACCTGTGCAAATTCGTCAGACAAAATTATTTTCAATTGTTTTATTTTTAAATAAAACTTTTTATTTTTATTTTGTTTACATTCAAAGTACGAGTCTTTTGCACTTTTAGGATATGAGATACTATCAATTCAAAACGTAAAAATTAATCTTTTTAAATAATACCTTTTACCATGAGTGCCGCTAACCAATGATCTAGGCTAGGCCTAGATGGGAGCAGCTACCAATGAATATGGTCTGATCAAAAGTAGATTTCATATCTATTTAAAAAAAAATTACCTCTATGGTTCCCGCCTTCCCTTGGCGATGCACATGGCTTCTACACTAAATTGCGCAATCAATTTTCTCCTTGTTTTATTCATAAACTATAATACAAAATGTAAAATAGTGTTATGACAGTCTTCTAAGAATTACGTTTGTATACAAAGTCTGTAATATAAATGAACATTTAGATTTACCATCTGTATATGCGACTGCAATGAGTCAATTAGATTTGTCTTCATTTGTCTGTGCAACTGAGACGTATTTGATCATCTTGTCTACTTACCTCTACAGCTTTGACGCATTGCTAATGAATCAAACACGAGTACTCTGTGTTCGTTACTGATTAGAAATTAACAGCAATAAATCGATTTTAGACTAAGGTTTGCTTCCAAGAGAACTAAATCTATTTAATTGTATATAACAAATTCACTTTTAAATAAAATACATTGGCAGATGGAGTATCCTTCGCTTGTCAAATCATTTCATTTATGTCTCAATTATGCTCTTTTTGTAACGTTGAATAATTTTATCAGAATATTATATTCATAAATGACGACTCAACATTTATCAAACGTAGAAGACTAATTTTATTACATTGAATATTATACCAACTATGTTTTGCGGAGATAACGAAATTTGTCTTTTAAACAAGCTGAATAAAGTAACATCAGACTACTAGATGAAATTTCCACTGATATGTTTGTAACTTTGCTGTTTCATAGTATATTAAAAACCTTAAATTTTCGCAATATGATTAATGCGAAAGCAATTACGAAATATCGCCGTCATTTCTGCTCTTTGATGAACTTTACAAACGGAATATGTTTGCAGGTTCAAAAGCTACTTTGACGATGGCTAAAATGAAACAAAATTATGTCGAATCGTAACCATACATTTGCATATTAATATAAATTTTTCGTAATACAATTGACGACAAGCTTACTGACCTCCATAAATAGACAAGCTATACTGCAGTAATTCGTGTTTATCAGAGGTTCGCCATTTTGACGATGATGGTTGCGGTGAAGATTTTCGAAGTATCAATTAACTTAACTGTTTTTAACATGAAAAGATGCATCAGTTGGAACTCTTTTTTAAACATTCGCCTATCCATTTATACTAGATGGCGGTAGTGCTGATTTGAATCGCGCTATTTTGTCCTCCTCAACTTATGATGGAAAGTTATTTTCCAGTGTTGTTACTTTAATCAGTTACAATTGCAAAAAATAAATTGTAGAATATTACCAAAATGTACCAAGTTACAGTGGCGAGCCTTTTTTAATCCAGTTCCAGTCTCGTTGAGACGTTGTAATAAAGTGGCGGCTTGATTCGCAGCTGAAAACTCTCGACGCGCTGTCACTTTCATTAAATTCCTTCATGAGAAATTAAATAGGAGACACGATTACTGAATAATAACTCAAGCTGGGACACTTCGCCAACGGATGTTTTATTATATTTGATAAGATATATTTATTAAAAAGAAAACTTGTACTGTGTAGAGTACTACGACTTCATTTTCTAGCAATTTAGCCATTAACTTCATACGTTATTCACGTGTCTTGGTCTCCTAATGATCTTGGATTCGAACCATTTATCGTTGAATGTTATGCTAAATTTATTATTTCATACGAAAAAAGGTTACCTATTGCGTAATTCAAAAGTATATTAATAAAAAAGCATTACATTCAGTTCTACCTCTAAGTAACAATAAAATAAATAGAAATATACCATTTTTATTACCAATTTTTATTACCAAAAGTATATTTATAAATGTAAATAATTTATATTTCGCTTCGCATTTGAGCATAATAATTGCATTCAGGAAACAGGAAGGTGAGAATAATTGAAAAAGTTTCGGACGCGGCGATTCTGGCTTTTAGTGCTGCCGCTATTGTTGACTGTAGCGAAATATTACAATTAAATACTAAGTTTAGAGAGCGTGAACTGATTTAATTGCAGAACTCTTTCGTGTTAGGTAAGTACTTTTAACAGCACAGAACGTTTTACATGCAAGACTGATGGAATATCGTCTCAACAAAGTATAACGATAGACTTGAAAAATACTAGCAAATCATACAATTATTTACGATCAAAGACGTACAGAGTCTAAGAAGTTATAATGCATCCAGAAGTATATGTGCGATTCACGTTTTATTATAATAGATATGCAGGGTATAACGTAAGTCAAATATAAGTGGTGAAGTTGAGTTGAACTAATCCGTAATACGTTTAGGAGCGTCGTAATCGCGCTGCAGCCGGGAGGCGAGACCAGCTGTGATGTGATTTGTTGCACCGACGCTTCCGTCTGCGACTCCGGATTCCGACTCTAGATTGATTGCTTTAGTACTAGTTATAGACGTTTCTAGATGGAAGTTTAAAGCCTGAACGCTCTTCCAATATCAATAGGATTTTAGTTTTATATTTTTCATTTGTACTTTTAGTTACACAATCTATACTATCTATGCTTCTTTACTAATATAATGAAGCGCAAACACTACTTTGTGGCATAGTATTTCTGAAATCAAGGCATATTTTTGAATAATTCTTACTTTAATAAAAAGGCCTACACTTACGACACGCTTTAAGTTATATATTTTCACGCTATTAAACTTAGGGAGTGAATATATTGGATAAAACCTTCACTTTTGAAAGGGACTATAAACTACAAGCTAAAATTAAGGAAGCAAAGTTATGTAACGGTAATTTTGACATTTGCAATTGAGAACTTGACTTTTAACAAGAAAATAAAGTTTTCATAATTCCATGCGGCTTGCACGGGAATAGTTTTTTCAATAATACATCAAGAAACCTAAACCACATCATAGACTTTTCTATTTCGTCTATTCAATCCTTTTTAAAATATTTCATTAAATCCACAGACAATAGAAATGTTATAGAATTGTCTATCTGTGTATTGTGGGCGTGTATCGTGAGTCGTGACGCGACTGTTTCCCGCCAACTCGCAGCTCGCAGGTGACAATGGCGGCCGTCAACACGCACAGACAATGAACTAAGTCCGCATTGTACAGGGACAAGTGCGCGTGAATATACAGCGATTTCACGTCATTAAGGATGTAAACGTACATACGAGGTATTAGAGAACATTCCGAGGTATGAAATGTTATTCCACAAACGTTGTTTGAATAGTAAATGTGTTTATAATTATTTGTGCAGAGAAACATTTTTATAGTACGGTTTTAACAATTATTATGACTTTAAAATCTCTTTCCTATATTAGTATGTCTTGTTCCACTTTAATTAACCTGGAAAACAACAAAATTTATGAAGGTTTTCTGTAGATACTTTTAAAGAATTGTCATAGACTAACAAGTAAGAAATTGAAAGGCGAAAACAAATTCATTATTTTATTTTATTTATAAATAAAAGTCTTTAAAATGGAAGACAAAAAAAACAATTCAAAACAGATCAATAACGGGGTATATTCAATTTAATAAATATTCGAAAAATATACTTATTTACAAACTACAACGCCATAGAGTAAATAACACGACCACAACTCTATACGGTAAAGTTCACAGATTATGCGAAGAAACAAACATAATAAAACCATATATTCATGTGGCAAACATTTAAAACTACATCATAGGAAAGACATAGAACATTGAATTGAAATAAAAATTAAAGATAGTCCAACTGTTTTGTCAAATATTTGAAAAAATATCATGGCAAACAATAAAAACGTGTCAAAATTATTACATATCACTATTCATTATTTATTAATCTATTCAAAAATAGACTTAAGTCACATAGAAAATAAGCTTCAAATTGGCAGATGAGGGTAGTACAACAAAAATATTTGGTAACTCAAAAATCACATTTTGTAAAACGTTCTATTAAAAAGAATTTAAATTTACTCTTAAAGAGGTTTAAAACACATTTTTTTCTTATACAATACAACCAATATATTGTCAACATATTTCTACAAATACCCACATTCGGTTGTGGCCGAGGCGTTTCAATACAACCATTTACTAATATCTACTACTGTGTACGTTCTACGCAAGTAAGCACCGCAAATAAGGACTGCTATACACGGGCGAAATTACAATATCAAAATTCATCTCCACTAGTTAAAAAAAGCTTCAATTTAGGCACTGTCTCTAAACTAACATAATTATTTCAAATTAGATTTATCGAATTTCTTTTTCAAGTCCGGTTAAAAACAGTGCTTATTGATTTACTTTTCTTATAAAGATTTTCGTAGCATTATTTACTCGTCTAATATCTCTGTAAATTAGATACTAACTAGGCCAGTTTACTAATACAACACTAAAAATCAATATATTTTATACATTTCAAAACTTTTTGTATAACTTCAGTTTTCAAATGCCTTGGAAACAGCACTTAAAAGTTTTAATACAAAACTGACCATAGACAATCTCAAAATAAACATTGATATGTATTTAACAATAGACAACCCAACACTAGTTAGTCGAAAATACCCTCATAAATTAAGGAAAAAAACTACAGCATCCCTTTTAAATATTTAACTCAGACGCATAACAATTATATATTCATTATTTGTACTAATATTGCCCATGTAAACAGACCCTAATATTAGTTCTAGAATTTTCTAAATGATTTGTCTATTTCTTGAGGTCTGTCTTCTGATCCGTCTCTCCGCCCTGTATGTAGTGGTAGTTCACGAACCTTACACCTTGTGTGATTTGAGCGCATTCGTTGGTAAAGTGGCAGGCGAACAGTAGCATATTCCTCGGCTTCACTCGCCACGCGAACCTCATAAACATCAGGGAATATAACGTCAGAGCTGGGGACAAAAGAACATACAATTTATGTGTGCCTGCGTTAGGGTAATGCCGTTAGGTGACCGGGGCGCTAGACAAAAAGGGCGCCACATTTAAATTTAAAGAACGTTAATTTATCTCAAAGTCCTCTATTACCAAAATCAGCTAGTATATAAGTTACACGCTGAGCCTGCAGCACATTGTTATTATATTTTTTTTTGTTAAATATATTCACTGTATGTAAATATATATGATGACAATAAGGAGGTTTTTATTTTTTATTTTATTTATATACCTTTCGTAACACTTAAAATACCTTTGAAAGATTTCAACGAACAGAAAATAATCTTTTAATTACAATGCGTAAGCTAGGAATGTTTTTTAACCCATTTCATTAATGACAACTCCCTACAGACAGGATTTTCCTTCTCTATTGTTTATTCTATTCGCAGGGAACGGAACGGATAAACCTATGTGTGTGGAACAATAGACCTTTGGTATATGATTAAAATGGATTTAATTGTTTTAAAATTAAACGAAATTGACTGTTCTTTATGTCGCGCTGGTGAATTTTAATAAATGGACCTTTTTAGTACATCGTAACCTTTCAGTAGTGGCGAAACTCAAAAACCTATAACCATCTCTTTTTTTTTCAATAAGAATGAAAGAGATAACAATATTTAGCATGTTCTGGCGATTGACGATACTTTTTGTATAAAACATTTAATCTATGATTATAAAAAGTAGTGTCATAGAGTAAACTGTCAAACCAAGTATGTTAGCTTGGTGTGAAAGAGTACGCAATACTCTGTGGAAATAATGTGTACTACATCTACATTGTTTTAAGGAGTATTGACACACATATGAAGTCTTGTATAACAATGTACAATGTTACATGTTTTACCTTGTTAGTTCCGTTCGTAACTACAGCTTACATAATATTACTGTTATCGTTTGTCCTAAGCATAGAATAAAGTAGTCTAGACAGTAAGGAAACGATCACAAGGATTAAACTAGACGAAAATGAGAACCAGTTTACATATTTCTATACGAAAACTGAAGATGATGATTATATTTTACATAAACAGATTAATTTCACTTACTCGAAAATATTTTATAGATTTTTAAATAATTGGCTGGTTGTTAATCTTTTCTTAAAGTAACTAAACTTATTTAATAAATAAAAACAAACTTTAACCACAATAGTCACTTTAGTACATACAGATTTATAAACATTATTCAAAAACTGTAAACTTTGTCTCTGAGAGGCTAAAAGGCACAATTCGAAAACAGAGACTCTATTGACTATTCGTCATTTAATCTTTGAATTCAGTTTCCATTGATAAACATGTTATGATAATGTGTTCCAAATATTAATGTTTAGAACTATTTCTATATAATCATAATTTATAATACTGTACATAAAGCTATATGTTTTATATGAAATTGGAATTTCGACTATGTTATTTCCTACACTATCACATCTAGACAGGCTTTAAGCAATCTTATCATAAATCTGAAAAAAGTATTTTAAGTGGCTGTAAAGCGAGTGATAAGATATGAACTAGACACTATTTACAGTAGTTTATTGGACTATACTAAGAGATACAATACTAATGCATATCAAATAATTTACAATGTCCTATTTGAATGTTTAAAACCATATAACTTACTCTATATTCATCACGAAAATTCGTGAGAACGTATTCGTAACATCCACAAATCTCATACTTTGTCGATGATGTTATAACATTCTCGCAACTGACACGAAAGCATTCGTAATAGATCCTCAGTAATTAAAGTATTTGAATAAAACGGAATTCTCTTTACAGATATTCTGCTTTATTCGTAAGAGGGTGACCATCCGTTTTGAACATTAAACACATAAAGATGACAAAACTGCATCAAGAAACAAAAATATGGAGAAACCCGCAAATTGTTGTTAGTTTATGAAATAATAAGCAAATATATTTATATATCACCATCAAAATAATAAATTTCCAATATAACAAGAGCTAATTTCCTATGTATATAAAATCATGTGAACTGTATTTCTTACTTAAGTAGATAGCCTTGACATAGAGACATTCTTATCATTGAATATAATATCAAGGCTGTTTTTCTACAAAGACTAAACAATATATATCTATCTATACCATTATAATAAAGCGTAAACACACACTTCTTTGTTGCCGAAGATATCAGCAATTACAGCATATTTTTGAAATAACTCTTTTTTTAATAAAAAACATTACATTTACGTCACGGTTAAGGCTATATATTTTCACGCGATTAAACTTAGGAGGTAAATATTTTGGATAAAAACCCTAATGTGCAACCATAATTTGTTGCCAACATCAAGGAAGCAAGGTTGCCATGGTTCATCATGTCATGTCACTTGGACATTTGCAATTGATAATTTGACACATGTTAATAATAAATTTAATTTTCATAAGTTTATGTGGATGAAGCCACACGGGAACAGCTAGTAGAATAATAAAATCAGAATATCACTGTTATACTTACATCTGACTTCTGAAGTTTATTTCAAATGTGTATTTCAAAAATTAAATCACTTCCCCAACTATAGAATGATAAATGGTAATATAACTATTATAACATTTCTGATAATTGTTATCAAGATGTTATTAAATTTATTGCATCAATTTGATAACTTATATTGTTCATAATTTAAATTATATCTAACATTATTTGCAATAAAAGTTCAATAAATATTTTGGTAGTGAAAACTCATAGTTGCATAAAACAATAAGAACAATATTATTTCTTCATATTTTTTAGTAGTTATAAGATGAATGATAATATTATTGATGTTTTAAATAACATACCAAGTGTCATTTTGCCACTAATGAAGACAGGATCTTTTCGTGTGTCTGCAATTGCTGCCAGTGGTATACCCCAATTTGCAACGGGACCCCAGAAGTGGGTACTGAAAAATGCATTATTTCATTAACATCCAAAACTGTTTTAATTGCATTGAAAAGTTAACATGGTAACTTAAATGTCTTACTTTATAACTAAACTAACCTCATCAAATATTCCCTAAATTCCTTGCTTTTGAGTTGGTCAAATAGTTTTTTCACTAGCGAACCCATTATTACTGAAAAAAAAAAAACATAAAAAAATCATGTTTCGATTTTTTAATTCTAAGACACAATTTCTGGACCACATTTTATCAATTATTAATGATATCTGTGTATTTAAGTTCAAGGAATTCCGAGTTGTGTTATAACAGATCAAACCAAGGTCTAACCTTTCAACCTCGTCAATTGAATAAAACTTACATGAAAAATGTTCAATAAATCAAGGATATTGAGAAAACTTACCTCTATTCCTCCGATCCTATAATTTTAAAAATGTTATTTAGGCAGAAAAACTGCTACGTCCTCTTTAACTTTTTTACTACTGAACCAATGTCACTGTCAACTGATAAAAGTAATAACCAAAAACGCTATAATGTTCGGTATATCAATTCAATTGAGTAATTAAGTGTAAATTGTAATAAAATTTATAAGAGTACTTATACAAATATTCTTAATTAATATTTATGCTTGAATTTACAATTGTAATTATAATAATTTTGATTTTGTCGTCAATTGTCAACTGTCAAACTGAACAGTGATAACGTAAACGTCAAATGATAGTGTTAAGATATTCGATTTTTTACTTTGTCTTAAATGTACTTTTGGAAATAATTCTCAGCGCGGACAAAGAATTTAGATTTTTTCTCGTATTTTCTTGTATCAAATGATTTTTTATCTTTATTATTCGATTTTGTGTACAAATTCGTTTAGTAAAATCAAATATTTATTACCTGTTTACAAAACCAATTGACACTTCGTTATCATCACTTATCAACGAATCAAAATCAATTCACAAAACAATAAACCCCGTTATGGATGAATTTTAAAATACATAAACCGTTACCAGTAATCCTTTTATTGCCATGTTAAGTTATTAAACAAAATGGGTTTACTTCGTATAATAATTATAGTTTATATGCTGTTATATATAGTTTTATACTTTGGGTTAGTTGGAGGACTGTTATATCTTCGTGCTGTTGTCATCCATAACTATAGGTATTTGAGATGTACAAATATTGATATTGAGAACTTATGAATTGCCTACTAACCATATTGAAATTCGATTGTTTGGATGGATGGATGTTACTACTTATCTTCAAAACGGCTTAACGGATTTTGATGAAATTTGAGAGATGTAAACCATAATCTGAGAGAACTACTTACAGATTTTTTTTTTAATGCATAGGCAAAAGAAAAACACCATTAGCAATGTTCTTGTAACACATTATTTTGCCAGTTCATTGGCAGGATAACAAATATATTAGTTTAGTTATATAAAACCCAATAACATATTTATAATGTTATTTTAATTTTTTTTCTTTTATTTTCAGCGGCGATGTACCATACAGTACTGGATAAAATAAGAAGTCAATTTTAGAAAAAAAACTTTATTCATACACAAAAATATAAAAGGCACTAAAATGGACGGTTTAAGTCTTTTAATATAAGTAATCTTTACTAATGGAATTAAAAATAAACCTAACGTCATATAAAAGGATTACAAATATAACGCCGTGTACACACTTATGCTACAAGTAAAAAGTCGTAAAAAACATATATTAACGTTAGTAATACATGAAGAATCATTTTATTGCCTTGCCACAGAAATAAATTTGAACTTTATACACAGAGTGCTTTACTTAGTGTGAACACGGCTTAACTTTTCACATTTCCTTATCAAATTAAATTATACTAAACAAAATATATATTTTTTCAAATTTGCACTTTTGATATATAACGCTGAGCTATCATTTGATATGTATTGCTTATGTACATGTATATAATTACATTTTCATTAATAAAAATATCTTAAAATAACTTCAGAATAAAGGAAAGTATCAATGCAAGAAATATTTCTAGATATAATCTACTTCTAAAAATTTCATAAAGTATGAGATTATAAAACATAGAGAACACTTTTTACACAAGCTGATATGAACTGCCACCGTAAATAACATTTTCAAACGGAATCTTTAAAAATACAACCATATTTAAAAGAGATTCAAAAATGCATTAACACAGTCAAAAAATAAATGTATAGTATAAATTGAATATATAAAGTATAATAAATCGAATATTTACAAAATAAATTGTTAATTTTGTAGAAAATATGCCGATACATTAGTATTAATTAATTGAAATTTCTCTTCAATGTTAATATTCGAGTTTACAATTTCTTAAAACAGTATATTAAATGAATTTGTCTTGAACACATCAAATACTAGCTAAAGTAAATTAAATTCTAATATAAAGAAAAAAAAACGGAATGTCAGTTTAAATGTTTTAAAAATTAAATTTGACTTTTCGTTAAAAGTAGCGTCTTTTAAAACTAAATGCTTAATTTCTAATTATAGTTTAAAATTTAAAAAAGTGGGTAGTTTCGAACGGAATATTGTAAAAAACACTTTGAGCTTTAACCTTGCAACTCAGAATTCTTATTCGTAAAACAAAATGTAACTAAAGAGATATTACATTTAGAGTCAAACAAGAAATCTACCTGCTATTTGGTAGAATTATTAGAAAAAATAAAACTAAAATTTGTATAGATCTGGAAAATTGTATAAAATGACAGCTACCGTAAAGAATCTTATGACAATGAAAAAAGGGTAGAGTTTCCTTAACATATGGAAATATTTCCTTGCAAATTCTAAATATACGCATCCCCTTGATAATGTCAAAAATTGTCATAAAATTGTAAATCTATTGTTAGCTCTCACAATAAAATTTAACAAACTTGATCAAATAATATAGATCTAAATAATTGTAGGTACAAGTTAATTTGAGATTCAAATTATGAGATTTAAAAAAGTCTTAGTCAATAACCTCTTTGGTTACCAAAAACACCTGGCAACACTGGTATTACCTGAGTTCCAACACTAGCGCCACTACGGCTATAATAATAACTAAACTACTCTGTACAGCGGCGGCGCCAGCTAACCTGCAAGTAAACATGTCTATACGAGTTTCTTTGTCTAATATTATATTCTGGAACTCTGCTTCCACTATTTGTCCGTCATAGTACGTGGTGAGATCCTCGAATGGATATTCGTATCCTTGGAGACATTCACATTTGTATCCACCGGCTTCAAACCCACGACCCAGGATTGGAACACACTGAAAAATAAATTTCATTACAATAATTTCAAACAAAACATATTGATATTTTGCGTTAAAAGTATGCTGTCTTCTATCAACATGATTTAAAAATATTTAAAATGAGACATATCTTACTAATATTATAAATTCGAACGTTTGGATGGATGTTAGAGTTTGTAGCTTACACTATAGAACAGATCTTGATTAAATATGGCACAGATGTAGAAGTAAGTCTGAAGAACACATAGGCTACTCATTTTTTTTAATTCAACGCGAACGGCATCGCGGGCGAAAGCTAGTTATACTCATAATAATTAGAAATTGTTACATTATTAGCTTTTCACGTGAATATAGTTAAAGTTAAGTTTATTGGGACATAGGGAAAATATATCTTTACTAGGAATATAAAAACTAACGCTATTATGCGAAAACGTAAGAAACAAATATCTTTGCTCCTATTAGAAAATAAACAGTAAAACTTAACAATCTTCTAGAATTCTTATATTCTTGGTTAGAGTATACTCTCATTTGTAACATTATTATGAAAATCAACTGCTGTAAGGGAGGGAATACAGATGCAAGTGACTGTGTACCTTTCATTCCAGTTACTGACGCAAATTGTATACCTATGCCAGTATTACAGTAAAACGGTTATAGGACACTCTCGACCCTTACACGCACTTATTTATAAATATCCTGCTACTTGCATGCAACTGCCAGCTTAGTGTGTCTATGAAATAAATTTGGTAATGTAGAAATATTTAGTTTTATATATCAGGTATTTTTTTATGAATATACTTACATATGATGATTTCCTGTCGCATTTATCTGTACCTTTGAATGCATTAGGCACATAGTACTTGTCCGGGCACTGGTTGATGTCTAACGACATCAGCGACATCGTCACCGCCACCACGCCTCTGCAAACATTATATTTTTTTTAATAAAATAAGGTGGCAAACGAACGAGCGGCCACCTGAATCCGCCAAACGGGCGAAGCAACCGCTGCCTATATACCCTTGATTGACGGAGGAGATAAAGAGGATATTTCCCCTTCTATGTGTCTCCTGCACCGTCAAATCTACGTTCCCTTCAGATCCTTCTCTATAAGAAAAAGGGTGGGAAAGGAAACGAGACTAAAGTTGGGCCTCCGGCACCACACTTATCAGACGAAACGCGGAATTTCTCCCACTTCACGCCTGTTTTCTGTATGGTCGTGGTATTACACCGGGCGAGCCGACCCTGCAGTGCGAAGATGTTAAAGCGGGCTCCTACAAAAAAGCCTACATAGGCTACTTATGTTTTTTAATCCTAATCTACTATTAAATAGACTTACTTGAATTCTAATTTAACTTTGACATTATCCCATCCAAAGAATGGTGAGGCGTACGTCACCACCCACTGTTTGAGAGGACCCTCACAGTCGTAGTAGGGCTGCGTCCAGTGACCGTGCTTTATATTAGCTGCTCTATAGAAAGTAGGATATTTCTCATATTGACGCAAATGTACACCAAGTTCATCATCACGTAATTTCATTTTAAGGAAGAATTTCTCCAAATTATCGAAATTCGTCGACCATCTTTGTTTTAGGAATTGAAACCATTGCTTGTTCGTGTAGACGTCCTCTGGAAATTAATTTAAAAAAATATTAGTAACAGAAATTCACCATCTATACTAATATTATGAAGAGGAAAGATTTGTATTTTTGTACGTATTGAAATAACTCAAAAACTAATGTGTCGATTTCAAAAATTCTTTCACCATTAGAAGAGTTATCTGCGAATAACATAGGCTATATCTTTTACTATTTTTTAATTTCACGCGGACGAAGTCGTGAGTAACAGTTAGTAACTTTTATAATATAAATCCAAATAAACCTAAAATTAAACAAATTAATAAGTTATGTACTAAATATCTTCAAATGAGAAAAACAGAACATTATAAATAACATAAACTGTATGCTATTTACTTTTTAACGAAATTAATTTTAAATTGGATAAAAAGAATTAATAAAATATATTAGTACAAAATTTTCTTGCTACGAAGTAATCTTAGGAACTTTGCTTAGTAAATGGACCTTACAAACTTTAAACTTTTTAAAATTGCAATAAAATATCAAGCATGACTTTACCTAGTAAGTTATAATTATAAATATACCAGTTTTAGCTGTTTTTAACATATATAACTTACCTGTTTTATTCAAGCGAGCGAGATCCTCCAGTTTGTACTTCCTTGTGTTTAGTTCCGTCTTGTAAGCGAACGGGGCAAAGTAAGTCCTGTTTGTGAACTTATTTCTGTCCCAGTAAGTACCTATAGACATAAAAAAATAAATAAAACATTCCAGCATTTTTTTATTCACAATTTTTTTATTCGTTTTTTTATTCACAAACGTAATATTACAAAATTTCTGTGTTTACTTTAAGGAACGTAAAATAACAATACTATCAGACTACTTACTAATATTATAAATGCGAAAATTTACATGGATGGATGTTCATTAGCCTAAACGGCTGCACTGATATCGAAATTTAGCATAAATGTAGAGGATAGTCTAGGACATATGTCCTATATGGGTTGTTTACTTTTGTTTTTTTTTTAATTTCACGTGGACGGAATCTCGGGCGTAAGTTAGTGTTTAATAAAGGAGGATTTCCGTTTTATTTCTCATACAAACGTTTTCTTATAGGATTTTTATGTTATATTTTAAAAAATCTTATTAAAAAAGTACAATTTCCTTTTTTTTTCACATTTACAAACATTTATATTTATTTAAAATACTTTATTTTACCTGCAGACCAGATCTTAGAGTCTCCGAGGATGATGGCCAGGGTCTCTCCTATCATCTGGTCCTCGGTCAGAGGTCTGTCGGCCACGCGGGTCCCGCTGAACACTTCGTAAGGGTCCGAAACCTGCAAATTATAAATTAAAACACAACTGTGTTGGAAAAACACGAGTCTCTTTTTCTCTTTCCTTACTGCAACTTAAAGAGTACAGTTGAAGTTTTAGGGAATTGTAAAAAAACTTTTAAAAAGGCGTGTACAAGTTTTTTAAAGTTTTTGAAATCCATAAAAGTTTATGCAGCTAACTGTACCTGACGAATAAGAATAATTTTACTGCTACAAATATGCTAATTTAATATTCAAATTTCATGTGAACAAGTCTTATGAATTTTGATTTGAAAACTGTAGTTTTTCAACTAATATCATTAGGTAAATAATTTAGGAGACAGAGCTAGTGTTTTTTTTTAATATGTTTTATGAACAGTAAAGAATTCTTACTTTATTGATTTTTAAGCTATATAACTGTAATTCTATGAGAATATAGTTTAATACGGTTAAATATAAGAATCAAGGGCATGGTACAAACCTGTAAAAATGCGCTGATAAAGTTAGCTAGACGCACCGCCATCTTGGCCTGGTTCTCAAACTGCTCCGGAGCGCCAAACGCGATGTCGCCGTTTAAAAACAGATCTGTTGCTTTGTATCTAAAATTACATTATTCAAAGTATGAATAAAGAAAAAAATACAGCCAGTTTAGATCAGTTTTGTATATGTCCATGTATAGGATTACTTGTTATTTTTTTTTTTAACTTTTACATGCGCACTGTTGTAACAACATTCAACAAAAAATATTTTTACTATTTTCCTTTATTATGATACCGATCTTGTAAAAAACATGTTTTTTTCGATACTTTTTTTTTACGATTTCGTTGCCTACCCTTATCCGACGGAAGAGGATACGCACATAAAGAGGATACTTCCCCTTTCTATGCATCTCCTCCACCGTCAATTCCACTTTCCCTTCCCATCCTCTCCTTATAAGAAAAGGGTGATAAAGAGGAAGGGACTTAATTTAGGCCTCCGACACCACACTCATCAAATGAAACATGGAATTGCTTCCTTTTCACGCCTGTCTTCTGTGTGGTCGTGGTACACCGCAGTGCTAAGATGTTAAATTGGGCACTACCACTGTTAAGAGGTAAGTACTTACTTGGAACAATTATGGGGCTGCACACCTCTGATGAAGTTGAGCACTTCGAAGATGTTGAGGCGCTCTGCGTGCAGCGCGGCCGCGCCGGCGCTCGCGTTCACGTACTCGTAGTAGCGGTCCGCGTACAGCGCGCGCAGCAGCGGGTGCGCCTTCTCCCACTTCACGGGCAACTTTTGCACCCCTAACATACATGATTCCTTATTATAAGTCAGCAACTTGCCCTTGTCCCTATACAGGTACAGTATGTGCTGCTTTTCCATACATTTCTATCAGCCATCATATTTGAATTCACTCCCTTTTCAAGCATATCCTCTTTCACTCAATCTATGTTTCTTTGGTCCTTCTCTACTTTTGTAACCACCCATATTTAATCTTAATTAGTACTTAACAATGATTTAATATTAATATTTAAATTAAGTTATTATTATTAGTGAACCAAAGAAAGTAATGATGGGTTGTGAGAACAGTCCTAAACCTTGTTGATGTTAATATCCTGAAGTCCATAACTACCAGTGGAAATTGTACATTTACAAGTGATCTCCAAATCGAATAATGTTTAAAAAAATGTCTACAATGAAAAAAGAAGGTATAGGAATCTCTAATTGAGAACATCAAGCAATTATCTGTTTTATTTTAAGCTTCATTGCTTGTTTAAAACTTAATAATATCGAGCTTAATGTCGCTATATAGGATCATATTTAGCGAAGCAGTTTTAAGTGTATAGACAAAATTTTAACTGCAGTTTAAGTGAAAGTTATAATTTTGCAGTTTTAACAAAAAAAATTGCATATTTGATAAAACTGAGTCAAATTAAATTAGGCACAGAACAAAACCAATAAATATAATTAATAATTTACTGTTTCGTAAGATTAGAAGTATTAACAAATCCACTTACATCCAATCTCCTTGCAATCGAAGTTATTATAGTACTGATCTGAGGTGGCTCTTTCTATAATTTCTCCGAGGTATGGTCTGCGCACGATGCTGGGCAGGCGGTAGCCCGGCCGGCAGCGGCACTGGTAGCCGCCGCGACGGAAGCCCCACCCGTGCAGCGGCTCACACTAAATATATACATTATTTTAAAACCACAGCTACAATATTAAAGTTTATAACTTTAAAATCAAAAGAATGATTTTACAATGTTTTTTTCATAACATGACAGCCATAATGCAAAATACAACTTTAATTAAACTAATAGAAACTTTTTTGTGAAAACCATTGATCTACCACAACTTTACCTGGGTGCCAAAGAATATATCTCATATCTTTCCTGTCATATCTATACCCTTCCCGTTAATATTCTACTTTTTATAGAGCTAACATTCAGTGATAATATTTCTTTCCGACAAAATAGTTTAACAGTGGTAGTGCCCACTTTAACATCTTAGCAGTGCAGGGCCGGGACAACCGGTGTAATACCACGACCACACAGAAGACAGGCGTGAAATGGAAGCAATTCCGTGTTTCGTCTGATGAGTGTGGTGCCGGAGGCCTAATTTAAGTCCCTTTCTCTATACCACCCTTTTTTTAAAAGGAGAGGATGGGAAGGGGAAGTGGATTTGACTGTGGAGGAGATGCACAGGAAGGGGATATATCCTCTTTATGTGCGTCTCCTCCTCCGTCGGATAAGGGTAGACAACAGATCTGTAATTGCGGATGTCTATGGACAGCGATCGCTTCGCCATTTTGGCGGATTCATGTGGCTGTTTGCTCCTTGCCACCTCATGTTATAAAAAAAAAAAATTTTTGAAAACAGTTTAGTTCAGATTACAGAACATATTTATTGTAATCAAAGTTATCCACTTTCTAAATATTGGTATAGATGAAAAAAATTAACAATACTTAGTACCTAGTGTCAGAATAAGAAATTATAACAATTTTAACTTACTTCTGTGGTTTCTAGTTTACATCGTGCTGTTCCGGCAAATCGATTCGGTCGATCGTTCCCCAAACTTACATTACATTGATTTATGTCTATTCGATCAAAATCCATCTCCATAACAACAGCTGCAGTATACCTGTTCGGAAACAAGTTATTAATGTATAGCTATTGCTTGCGACTTTGTCCACAAGATATTAAAAAAGTAAAAAAAAACATATCCTATGTTATACAGCATTAACATAGCTATTTATTGGTTAATGGATTTTTTTAAATCGGTCTCTTAGTTTTTGAGTTATTTCATAACAAAAAAAATACAAATCTTTCCCTTTTTATATTAGTTCAGTTAAAGATTTCACTATTTAAAAACATAACCTAAACTAAAGGTAGCAAACCAAGCACAAGTGCTGTTTATGGTACACAACACAATATTTTAGGCACACCATCGGACACTAAATTCATTGTACACTACACAGACAAATACATAGTAAGTATAAGGTATTGTATAAGAAGCAAGCAGTAAATAATCCAAAAACTGCAGAATGTACCCAATAATTAGAATATCTAAATTATTTTATGGCACATAGTTGAACACTTCTTTAAAAAGACATGTCAAGTTGACAACCCCTGACCAACAGTCATAGAGGACCATCAATGACAAATGTATACTTACGTTGGAAATTCAATATGTCTGAATTGTGTATGACGAGGGTATATATCTGCTACAGGTGACACAGCTCCAACCAGCCATTTGTTGAGACGTCCGCAATCAAAGTATGGACGGGTCCAATTTACTGGTCCTTGCACCTGCAAAATAAGTGTATGCAATTAAAATTGATTTTAATATATACAATGAATACTTTATACTGCTCTATTCAAAGAAAAAACAATAAAAAATATAACATCTACAATTAAAATCTACAATTTTACTTTTAAATTTATGAAGAAACTAACTTTCGCTTGCGACTCCGTCCGTGTGGAAATAAAAAAAAACAAAAGTGAGTAGCCTATGTGCTCTGTGAAATTTCATCAAGATCCGTTCAGCCCTTGAGGCTACAAACTCTAACAAACATCCATAAATCCATCTAAACCTTCGCATTTATAATATTAGTAAGATTACTATTTATCAGGTTATTTGAAAAACAAGGTGTAAATTGCAAAATTATGGCTTATAATACAATATGATCATCTACATAGGAGTATTCAGAATAAGTATAAGATGTATACATCACTAAGCTAACAAATAACAACTGTTATAGGAAAAAGTATCTAAATATAACTAAATACACACCTCATCATTTCCGGGCGGTCCATGGAAGGTAAATGTCTCGTTAGTATTATTAGCATATCTGATCTCAACTTGGTATGTAGTCTTTGTGTCATGTCGTTTATCTACTTTGTCAGGTAGCCATTTGAAATACCATTCATTGGTCCGATAATAATCTGAACTATAATCTTTCGACAAACTATCAGGCTCAAATGCTCCCAAATCTAGCACATGGAATGTATTTAAGGTAGATATCTTTTGTAGATGAACTGGATCATTGAAATCATCAGCTCTGAAAGCTCTTGGTGCAAATCTCGGCAATGTTTTGTTAAAGAAGCCACGGTACGAAGACGTGTATGATGTATTGGGTGAAAAATAAATAGAACTAGCGTTTATATAAGGGTTCGCAGCGACGTCAGCTACCGATGACAAGAAGTAATACATCATTCCCGGATCATATGTATCATTTATAGCCGGTCTTATAAACCGTGACTGTAGAATATAACTCCAGAAAAACGCTCTGTTCATAGCCATGTTGTGTAAATGCAACATCGCCGTGCGATTCGGGAAAACGGGGTTAATATTTATTTCTTTCACATCGGGGTGGTGTGATACTGAATTCTCCGGAAGGTAAAGGTCATCAAAATGGGTTATATAGCAGTTATCGGCTGTAACTTTGTCGATCTTTTCACGTATTTCATCAACCGCATCTCGTAGCTGCCATTCATACTGACCGGCCACACCCCATAATAAAACGCATAGCGAAATCGCTAACAGCAGAGAATTAATTATCTCCATTTTTACTTACGTGCTACCACACTATTATCAAATAGTTTTAATATCTTAATACACTACATTTGTTTCAGTTATTTATCATATTGGATTTTGTACGTTCTAAGACGTTTGTTTTCAAGTTTGAGTGATGACCAGAGAGAACTTTATAGCTCAAAAGCGTAGGCATAGCAACGATGCACAGGTAACAAAGTCGTACAACCTCTAAATAGTTAACTACTTAGAGTTTTAGGTTAGTCTACCGTAACCATAAGAATTTAGAATATTTATAACATAACAGGAACTGCTTTTTATCAAAAAAAATATTATTAACAATAAATAACATTTTAAATTTATTCTTCAAAAGTCCTAAACTGAACCAACAAATGTCAAATAAATGTAAAAACAAAGTAAATTGAATGTCTATGATATAACCTCATAAAATATACTTAGTTTTTTGTATTTGTAGGAAATTTTGAGATAACTGATTATAAATAAAGTCCCTTATATCAATGGCTAGTACACTAATTCGTAAGTAACCTGTATTTGCAGTTTACAAAATGTTTGTCATTCCAACGAATATAAACTCAGAAATTTAACACCGTTTACTTACTTGCAGGAACGCTTTTTAACAATTTATCAATTTATGGCACAAATACGACTAATTTGGTAAGTATCGAAATTTGAAAACTAAAAACAGTACTCCTTCATCTTTAGTCACGATTTGCGGTTATAAATAACCAAATGAATATTTATACTTTTTAGAGAACAATACATACTTCTACATTATTTTACGCTGCTCGTAAAGGTACCAGAGCTAAGGCCAGGGCGAAGAAAGTGAAAGTTGAGATCACTAAAGTTGGATTTATCCCTCATAACCAAAGAAAGAAAGATAAGTATGTGTGCTTTAAATTTGTTGAAAAACATCATTATTCTAGTTATTGCAACTTGCAAAAGTTCTTCCTGATTATCCTCTACATCTATGCTAAATTTCAGCTAGATCTGTTGAGCAATTCTGAACATACATAATTTCAAACACCAATACATCTAAACATTCACATCTTACTTCTTACTAATATTATAAATGTAAAAGTTTATATGGATGCATGGATGTTTGTTAGAGTTTGTAGCCTAAACTACTGAATGAATCTAAATTTTGTTTTTTTATTCCACTTGGACGAATTCAAGGGAGAAAGCTAGTATACAATATTACTAAGATAATTGACTTCAGTCATTTTAAACTACCTTTATAATAATTCTGCATTCAGGTCCTCCAAGACCACTATCAACAAGCACTTAGATGACAGCTTCAAAAGGGAATCTAATGACAATGTATTCCCTATGCGATATTACCGCTGGCCGGTGTACACTGCTGAAGAGGCAGTCAAAGCTCACCAGGAAACACATCACCCTACAATGTACAATCTACCAGATGCCTTAGTATATGCTAAGGTTGAAATGAATATGGAAGCTGTTAAAAAGGTAATCAATTTAATCAACAAAAAGAAATAAAAAAAGAACGAGATATATACTATAAAGACTAGCTATAACTATTTACGCAATTCATCCACTATTGCGAATGTCCAGCACCGATTCAGGTGGCCGTTTGCAAGTTTGCCATCCTATGATATTAAATATTTGTAAAAGAATTAATTCTTTACAAGGAAAGTGTGGGAAGGTGAAGACAATTTGGCAAAAAAACAAAATTGGGCACATGCTGTTTTTCCCTCTTTGTTGATTTTTATAGACAATGTATCTGCAATGACAGGTGTCTATAAGATGTCTATTTTGGTCAAATTATGTGGTTGCTACTTGTTTTTGTTTAATATTACTACATACAGAACTTACACTCTTAAAAATTTATTTTGTTTTTAGAATCGTTATATGGATTCCTTTACTCGTCTCACTCTGTTGCCGCACTCATTCCCTCGGGATGAAGAGCGTACAATACTAGCATTCTGCAAAGGTCCGGAACTGATAAAGCAAGCATTGGAAGCAGGAGCCACTACCGTTGGTGCTAATGAAATTGTTAAGAAAATACAGGTGAGTTACTTGTTCATTTATATTCAAGTATCTTAAAGATAGAACATTGCTTTAACCTTGTGATTCCTAAAGTATGCCAGCCCTCTAGGGTCTACGGAAGGAGTGAAAAATATAATTTAAGGACCCCCAAGTTGTATATGATATGTGGCAAACAAAGCCAGAGAAAGTTCGAAAGTGGTCTTAATAATAGAATAGTTTTGCATTCTCGTACAAAAAGTAAGTTCAATTAATTGTATTAAGCATATCTTTCATTTCAGGATGGTGAAATAAAACTGCCGGAATACGATTTCGTGATTGCCCATCCTAATATGATAACCGAATTGGTACCTATTCGTGGTCTAATGAAGAAACGGTTCCCCAATGTCCGTAATGGTACATTAGATCCAAACATCTGTGATTTGGTCAAGAAATTTGCTGCGGGTATTCAATACAGAGTGACTAAAGATGAAAAGCAAGAAAACTTTGGCTCAGTACAAGTGCCAGTTGGAAGGGTAACAAAAAAGTTTTGTAAATAATAAAATTTTATTTTAATGTAGGTGACAGACTAATAAATTATCTGTAATCATTTACTTTTGCATATCACCATCCACCATAAACAAAAGTGTCTATGGTTTTAGTTAATAAAAATAGACTGCCCCCTAAAAATTCCGTGTAATTTTAAATTTATATTAATTAATTATTACTTTCAGCTAAATATGGATGCTAAGCGAGTTGCAGAAAACATTGATGCTTTTCTCAAAGATATTCAGAGTGTGAGGCCAAAAAGAGATGGACTCTTTATTACAAGGTAAAGTTTTAATTATAATATTCCTTTTACAATATACCTTAAAAAGAAACTGTTACAATAAATTATTATTTACAGATGTTTCATCGTGAGTCCGCCATCGTCAGAAGTTTTAAAAATCGATCCATTTGTTCACGTTGAGCGCACCTTGGCGAAGGAGGTTCAAGAAGACAGTGACGACGAAGGTGAAGCTGTGGCAGCGACTGCTTAGTAAAAATATCTTCTAATTTATCATAATAACGTTCTGTAATTAAAATAATAAATATAGATCTATAGATGTAAAAGATTTTTATTTATAATCCCTTAGGTGAGCACAGTTTCAGAACGCAACGCAACGTATTTGATGACGATTTTATTAAAACGTCATAGGTCAGATCAGAGTTTATTTTTCTGTTTTCTGTACCTACTTAAATGTTATAATCAGTGTTATTTCTCTAGGCTTATCCTTCTCCCCTAATATTTTTTTTATAATTACAGATATCTTAACGTAGAAGACGATAAATTATATATCTGAAAGAAAAAACTTTTTGGTAGCTTATGTTATCTGTAGTTTGGTTTTATCTTGAAAGTTGTAGTTTTCGAACGCACCAATAGGGGCGTAAAACAATCCGCCATCTTGTCCCAGTGACAATTTAGATTTTATTTAATTTAACCCGTATATATTTATTAAATCCGTTGACAAAAGTGATATTTACCAAGCTGTGTAGTGTTTTCAAAGCCTGTGATATTTTAGTGTCCGAATATTTTTTGTTAGCATAAATATCTCGAAGTTATTGTTAGTCCGATTTTGACGTCGAACGAAGTAGATAATCAAAATGGGCACAAGAGAGGACGAATACGATTATTTGTTCAAAGGTAAGTTTATTTACAATGTATTCATTGTTAATTTAACAGATAACATTACATGGGAATAGGAATAATGAAATATGATTTGAGATTTGCCTTTGTTATGTGTTTCAGTTCTATTCGTTATGACGTCGAAACAATATATTTACTGAATATGTATAAAAATGTTTTTCCACATATAGTTTAAATGGAAAGGAATAAAAAACATTATGTTTATTTCATGAAAATGGCATAGATACAAGTTTGTAATCCATCAGCTGATGTATCATAAATAATCGATTGGTATTTTTTTGTTCGTGAGTCATCGTACATTTGTATGATCTAATCTCAAATGTAAAATAGCGTCGAAACTTCCATAAGATGTATAATTAACGTATTTTATTATACTTTAAATGTTATTAATAAATGAAAACATTTTATTGTTTCAGTTGTTCTCATAGGGGACTCAGGAGTTGGTAAAAGTAGCTTGCTGTCGCGTTTCACTAGAAATGAATTCAACTTAGAGTCAAAATCCACAATAGGTGTGGAATTTGCAACAAGAAGTATAGAGGTAAATATAATTTCTATCAGTACAATGTGTATGAAACATTTTTGGTTTTAATGAACAATGAGTGTAATAACTTTTTGCTGAACTCTTTGTTTATGTTCACTGGAGTTTTATTAACTTTTCTTGCAAACTATTTTGTAATGAATTGACACAATGTCTTTGTTCATGTTAATTTATTATTGTAACATTTACTATAAATAAAATAAATTCATATAACACTGAAATAAAACATCAAATAAGATGTTAGTTAACTCAAAATCACAAAGAAAGTCAGCTTACTAATAAAATGTTTGATTTTTTATCAACATTTTTTTTACAACTACAATTAAAGTTATCTATATCTAAAAATCTAAGTATTCTAAATTATTCTCAATTCATCTATATATCAGAGTTATATTGACAATATTCATTTCAAGAGACCACTGATTATAATTCAATTGACCTCAATTGATTCATAAATGTGGAGCAGTTTTTGTTAGTGATATTTTATATTTCAACAAGCAATTGTGGATTTTATTTGTACTGAAAACTGTTGTTATGATATCTAATATTGTGTTTGTTACATATACTTGTAATGTATATGGCAAATGTGAAAAATCACATACTGACTTGATATTTGTATATAAATGGTTTGACAGTAGCTAAAATTGGTTAGCCAATGTTTATGTGAAAATATAATTTTTCTCAATTCTATGTGAAGGTATTGGAGTAAAATTCATTCAATTTATTGTCAAAGCAATCTTTAAAACATGTTTCATAGTATAAAAACATTTAAATTTTAAATCAATAGGGCTGTTGATAATATGTTTTAAACATTTATGTCTGTTCTAAATTGGTAGGTTTTAATTCTTTTTCCTTCTTTTAGATCTCTCTTAGTTACTTTTGCTCTGACTCATCACATATTTACTCACACTATTTGAATTAAAAACATATGTCACTATGTTAATATTTGTATTACTATATGGCACTATCTGATGGATTAAATCTAAATAAATTTGCTTCATGAGAACTGCTTATAATCTGTCAGACATGCAAATTTCATTTGGAACCAGCTGTTATTTGCGAAATTGCCTTTCTTACGGTGAAAGAATTATTAAAATCAGCCCAGTAGTTTATTTCGATACAAAAATACAAATCTTTTCTATTTATTATTAGTATAGATATAGATTTGGCATTTTAGCATGACCTTATTTAAGATGATGTTAAATATTAAAATGCCATTTCACTATTTTACCATGAATATGACAGTGACAAAATTATTATTACTGTGAAGTAAAATTTTCCACAATATTTATACCTATGAAAACATTTATTATTGATTTTATTTTAGATAAGATTTTTAATAGCCTTATACAATACATGTACATATTATCTTGCATCCTTGGTTTTATACTGTAAAGTTTTTTTAACTATTCTCATCAAATTTGTTCATTTATTACAGTTTAGTCTCTACTTGTGTAGGTTTTTAAATTTAACTATATTAATTTAATGGAGATAGTCACCATAATAATGTTGTTAATTTTGTTAATTGATTTACAGTACTTAATTGTGTTATTATAATTCTGACATATAAAAAACTTCCTAGTTACTTTAGACTAACAAAAACACCACAAGCTCATATAAATGTACAGATAAAAAATAGTAACTCGCATGTATTTTTAAGTTGCTAATATTGTGTTCTGTACCATTTTGTCTTTATATGTGTATCTTCCTGAATAATTGTATGGACAAAATACAGTATAAGTAACTTAAGCTTGATTATGTATATCAAGTAAGCTATTAAGTTTCAGTACCTTTCACTTCCTTTTAAACCATTTCCTGTATTAACTTCCTATCAAACCATATATGGCAAATGTAATGGGTTTTTTTAAGTGTCATTACCAAGTTCTTCCATTTTAATGCTTCTGTTGATAATATTGAGTCCTTGATTGTTCTAAAACATATTTAGCAGTTGCAACATTTAAATTTTTTTGCATGAAATGTCTTTTACTGTTTATATTATTTATTGGACAGAACAAGAAATAAGTATACTTGATTTTTGTCACAAGAAAAAGATCTTAAAAAACCAATAGGGTGACTAAGAATTTAATATAATATTAAGACAAGAATATTGTAACATTGTAATTCAAACTTGATTATGGTCCTGTTTTCAGTATCTTGGAGTCGGCATTTCATGTTATAGTTTTCACATATTCTTCATCAGCTCACTAAGCCCCCCCTGATGGTTGAATTGTAATTTTGAATTAGGACAGTCCACAAGTAGAGCAATAACTATGTTACCCTACATACACATTTGGCATCTATCCAGATATTTCTACAACTGTTGATAACATCCCGTGACCTACCCTTTGTTTTGTTTTATAACTATTAAAATAACAATCAATGCAGAGCAAACAAAATTATCTACTAGTTCTATTTATTGCCAGTATAAAAGTAGAAAATGTACTCTAGAAAAGATCTCTGCTAGCTTAAAAGTTTGAAGTACTAATAAGTGGCAGTTTGGTATGGATATGTACATAATGTCACTTTGCTTTCGTTAAATGAACTTATATAAATAAAATAAATGTTGCGTTTCTCACATTAGTGCAGTAAGTCTGCAAAGTTTTGTAAAGTTTTTAATAGTTTGCGGTTTGAATATGAAATGTTTTTAAACAGTGCTTAATTTTCCAGCAATAATCTTGTGTACAAGTTTGTTCACATCACAAGTTTATTTTAATTGCATAATACAAAGTATTTTTGGACTTAAATAGTGTTATGCACATCGCCTTTAAAAATGTAATTATTTAGTATTCCACTAAATTACTAGCTTGGTGAAAACTCAGGCTTTATTCTGCTTTGATTTGTTTATTTACGATCTATTTATACGTTAACAACTATTTATATTATTTAATGCATATTTCTGCATCTTATATACAAGTAACAAAATAACATTATAAATGTCATTTCGATATTTAAAACACTTCGTCTTAAAAATCCGTTACTAATTTTTCACGGTATTTGATTTCATAAACTTAATTAACGCGGTGACGTCATTATCGTGCGACGGGAGTAGGGTACAGTACGGTAAGCTTTCCCCGTCCCCTACTGAAAACATACAAATTACCCTTTGCAAACCTTGAGCATTTTAGTATTTAAAATTAAAGGTCTGGCTGAAATAAAAAAAAAATCGTCCTTAAAGACGAGATAGAATTTAATCGAAGAAATTAGTTATTGTCTCACTCGGAATCTTAAATTGGTCATTAAGGAGACCCGAAATCCTAGTGTACCTTAAATACCGAGTGCAGTTTTATTTATATCATCTCTAAGCTTTCATAACATGCACGTACTGTTTAGCTACGGTTAAGAATTCCTTTGTCCTATTTCACTGTCGAGCCAAATTGCTCGGTGACTCTAACGTTGGCTCTTAATTAATGAGAGCCCAGCTTATTCCCATCGGTAAGATTAATTCGCTATTGTTTTAATGTTCATAGAGTTATGCATGAGGTCATCATTTTAAAAGCTTTTAAAGTAACAGTTAATAACTTTTTGTGGTGGTTTAACCGATTGGTTAATATTCCAATTGAGAGAAATGTGAATTAACTCGCAACAACTAGTTTCTATTTCGATTTGTATTAGTACGGAGTTTTTAATAGAACATGTTATATTGATTTCTTACTGTTTTGTTTAGTCGTTTAGATCTAATAACAGAAAAATTATATCTACGATTTTATGTGGAAGAATATTATATTTACAGAGTGATAAAGTACTAAGATAACTGTACTTATGGCTTTTCTTCTGTACCTTTGTTTAATTACAGCTATTGTGAATAAGAATTCAGCCTTCAAATAAACGTAGGTAGCTTGAGTAAAGTCAAAGCGTAGCCTTGGCCCGGGCCACATAATCGATGCGAACGAAATTTATTTTACTATGTCGTGTAGGCGACGTTTTATCACCGTGTGACTCAAGATAATAATAACGAAATTGACAAGTTTCAAGTGTTGCTTTTGATTTCTGTAACAGCCAACCACTGAATTGCGCGTACAAAATATTGTTATCCTTGTTGTTAACAAAGTGAAAGAGTAGGATAGTGATATAAATTTTATACAGCTAAAATAGCAGAACGAGGTACAGTCAGCTACATAAATATACATACAAAGCTTAGGGAAAGATCCATACAAAGTATACATCTTTGTTTTAAAAATATGAATACACTTATCCGTATATGCTTCCAATTCTGTCATGGTATTTCGAATACGTATTCCTGGAGATGACTGTACATTCGAATGCTGTGATTCCGAAGTCTGCTTCGGAAAACTCAGATACAGCAAATCAGTATAATAATACAGTGTATGTATAAATTCTTGGAACTATCTTCATAGGCTGAACCTTATAAAGGTATCTTGACTACTACCATCTATTGCCTTGGTTAGAAACCAGTCATAAGTAGGCTAGAAGAGACTCTGTGAAAATGTATAAGAATGTTGAATTACATTTTGAGGTCAAAGACTAGATGAGAAAATAGTTCTTTCACTAATATGAATTCTGAAGTTACAGGCGATAGTAACTCAACATTATTGACCCATTTATTTACCATTGTTATTATACTAACCTTGCATGAATTCTGCTTGATGTTGATAACGATTTGTAATTGAGTTTCAATGCTCTACAATCATTTACATGATGTGACGTGTGTTTGTGCTCTGATTCATACATAAAGATAATATTTGCAGTTAGGTACGAAATGTCATCGGTTCGGGAATTATTTATACTGTAAATTTGACAAAAAATATATATTTATAAATAACAATTTTATACATATAGATATTTGAATATTATTTGAAGATTTGGTCGTATGTTGGTATTTGAAACTATTAAAACCTAGTAACAATTACTCTGTGAACCTTAAATAAATTAACTAGAGTGTAAACATTGTACAACCTCAATACACTTCTGTTACATATGTAACGTAATATCTATGTAATTATTTCGTTTTATGTGTCAATCTGAGAAATTTAATATTATATTTCATAATGATATTTATTACAAAAAAACTATTTCTACATATTTCACATGTATTTCCTACTTTGTTCTGTTTATTTTATGTAGAAAGTACGTATAAAAAATTAATTTTTAAATTGTATATATTTGTATAGAAAAGTAGCATATTACTTTAATGTCCGTATTCTGTTTAAAAATCCTTGTTTTGTCTTTTCTGGGTCAATTTTAATTGCTCTGTATTTATTTCTTTACTTTTTTTAGTAAGAAAAATACAACTAGCTATTGTAATCAAAGTTTTTCGTTACTTGGTCTTAAACTAAGCTTCCTTTCGTTCCATTTATGAGGCAGGAAGTTCAAACAGTGTACGTATGTGACCTCTAACGGTGCCGGCCGGTGTCCCGAATTTTGTACATGTTATTGCACCCATTGTACCGCTATTAATACTACTGTATGTATACGAATGAACACGGATTGGTAGCTCTGTATAGCTTTGTCTATGTTAACTGTATACGATTTATATTATAAGGTGGCAAACGATCAAGCGGTCACCTGAATCCACCGAAATGGAAAGCGACCGCTGTCCATAAACATCCGCAATTGCAGATGCGTTGCCTACCTTTAATTGACGGAGGAGCCTTCCTATGTGTCTCCACCACCGTCAAATCCATTTTTCCTTCCCATCCTTTACTCTTAAGAAAAGGGTGGAAAAAGGTACGAACTAAAATTAGGCCTCCGGCACCACACTCATCAGACGAAACGTGGAATTGCTTCCACTTGACGCCTGTAATTCTTGATTTCTTACGCTGATTGTAATATGTACTTTGGAATACTATAATGATACTTTTACAAAAGAAACATGTACTAGAGTGGTTAATATGTTATATGCTATTTGTTTCTAGTCCTAGTTCTGACAATAAGGATGTACATTCTTGACCTTGATAACGATGCTGTACACGACTGAAACCGGTTAACTTGTCCGAACACACGCATTTATTATAATTACCTTGAACTCTATCAGGTACTGGCTGTTGCTCACGACTCCTCCGTGAAATTAAAAAATAATAAAAGATATAGCTTATGTTATTCACTGATTAATTTCCTTTCTAATTGTGAAAGAGTATTTGAAATCGGTCCAGTAGTTGACTTATTTCAATACAAACATTTCCTCTTTATTGTATTAGTATAGATTACTTGTTAAGTATAACAAAATAATGTAATGTAAATCATACTAATATTATAAATGCGAAATTTTAGATGGATGGATGTTTGTTAGAGTTTGTAGCCTAAACGGCTGAACGGATTTCGATAAAATTTGGTATACATGTAGAGGATTATATGGAAGAACACATAGGCTACTCGCTTTTGTTTTCTTTTTTTTATTTGCACGCGGACGGATTCGCGGGCGAAAACTAGTGCTTTTATAATAATAAATTTACCGATATTAATTATATTTTCCATTTTATCCTTCCCTATATTATTTTTGATATGTATAAAAATCTGTAATGTTTGTTCTGATCGTTTCCAGGTGGACGGTAAAACCATAAAGGCTCAGATCTGGGACACGGCGGGCCAGGAGCGGTACCGTGCGATTACGTC